AAAAAAAAAAAAAAAATCTTGCAGTGTGTTTGGTCCATGAAATCTTTTCCTAAGGGGGGCAGTTCATGGAGGAAGAATGATAAAAGGGACCCAGAGTGGAGCAAAAGGAACCCACAACACACGGAGTCTCTGCTAGTGGAGTCTGAGTCCCGTGCATTTAATGCTGAGGAGAAAATTCTGGTGAAATTAAGAAGCCCCAGCTCCCTGGGGTGGAGGTGGTATGAGAGGAGAGAGGGCTGGATGGAGGACCTAGCAGGCACAGGGGACAGAGGAAGCCTCCCAGCCCTTGTGCTGTGCCTACTCACTGGGCTGTCCTGGGATGACTGGGGCTAGGGGCTGGACTTTAGTCCCACTCCACAGCTGGAGCAACTGAAACCCAGGTCCTGCCATTGCTTAGGAGTCTGCAAGAGTCACCCAGTGCAGAAACCAGGGTTCAGCCTAATTCCACAGGCCACTCCTCCTTCCTTCCCTCCCTCCATTCCTTTCTCTTCCTACTTCCTTCTTTCCCTCCTTTCCTTTGAGTGAAGCAGGGATTTTTTTTCTTGAGACAGTCTCACTATGTTACCCTCAGTAGAGTGCTGTGACATCACAGCTCACAGCAACCTCAAATTCTTTGGTTCAAGTGATTTTCTTGCCTCAGCCTCCCAAGTAGCTGGGACTACAAGCACCCACCACAATGCCTGGCTATTTTTTAGTTGCAGTTGTCATTGTTTAGCAGGCCTAGGCCAGGCGTATGTGGCTGGTGCCCTACTCACTGAGCTACCAGCACTGAGCCTGAAGCAGCGTTTTTGAGCAAAAGACAGCCATGAGAAAGTCTGTAAGGAGGGACCCCTGAGGTCTGAGCTGTTTGGAAGCATTTGGCAGGAACATCTCAAAAGAAGGAGGGACAGTGAGCCAGGAGTTCCCCAGGGTCTATCTCCCAGACCAGGAAAGTGGCTGGTAGTTTGGTGTGTGGAAGTCAGGAATAGCTGACTGAACTATTCGCTGAATAGTTGTCCCATGACTGACCTGTAAGTCACTAGGAGAGAGGCCAGGCCCAGCTGAGTGTGCCCAGGCCTGGACAGGGCCCCCAGATGCTGGGGCGGAAGCCAAAAACAATGGAATTCCCTGTGTTTGGACCCTGTCCAGAGAGGTTCACATTCTCCGTGGAATTGGCAGGGAGGAGAGAGAGCTGGAGGGATGGGCCTCCCTGGCGCCTGCTAGACTGAAGCTGGACAATGCTTTGGCTGCACAGCCAGCCCCATGGCCAGCTTACCACAGTCACCTGGCTGAATAGGAGTGCTGCTTTCAAACTGGCCACTGGAAGATAGGAGGAACACCAGCCTGCATGGTCGGGTCCTAAAGAGGGCCACAGAGTGAGCCAGCTGTAGACCGAGCCAGAGTGAGTATGTGTGCACCTCTCACATTTCTGGAGTCACCTAGCAAGCTGCCTCACCTACTCCAGAAAGCCACTGGGAACCAGGAGACCAGCGGGGATGGCCTCTGAGCTGCCACAATACTGTCCCAAGTCCTGGCACTCAAGTTGATTATCTCACTCAGGGCCTCCTTGCTCTTACTTGGCACATAATACTACGAACTCAATGTAGATCAAAAATAGTACCCTGAAGGAGGCAGCCACAGGCTTGGTATGAAAAGTGACAACCAGAAAG